CCCAAGTACTAATGCATCCAACCCTTTGCATCAAAGCAATAATTGGCAAAGTCCTCAGAGACGCTTCATTGATAGTAAGGATTCAAGCTCAACACGTATGCTGACATGCGTCTTTTTCCTCGTTCCTCTTAAACCACCAGTACTTTGGCTCAGCTATCGGCCGTGTGGGAAAAAATAAGAGTAGAAACGTTTCTAGTCGGACGAATTTGGGCGCTCCTGTAGTGACCCATATGTTTCCTAAAATTGTGGCTTGTTAACGGGCACGACTTTAGGAGGTACTGGTGGTTTAAAGCCACTCCTCTTGCGACCAACCAACAAAACCCTCCACCATCATCCAAAGTCGTGTCTTTTCAGTCCCCCACAAGTAATACCATCGATACTCATACAGCCCCCAAGACCGTGATCTTTGTAGAAATCAAAGGTCACCCTTTTCTGGACTGCCAGATTGAGAGGTTTGTCCTTTTGAGGCTACCGTTTTCACCCGACTAGAACGCCCTGTCATTATGGTTGTATTTGGCACAACTTTTAGCCCAGATACGGTGATAATTATTGGGCGTTCTATTCCGATGAAGACGGTAGGGATTACGAGGCCTTTCTGAAAGTGATACATGGCGGTTGTCACATTTCTGCTGCTCTGTGTTCATTGAATGATAGGAGGTTGTCCGAATATTGAATGATTATTGACTACACTTTCTGGAGGTGCCCACATGCGATCGTGGTTGCCCTAAATATGTTAAACTTCAATTTAGAAATAGGCCAACCAACCTTGTGTACCCATGAAGCAAAGTAGTGAATGATTCAGCAGGACTTGCAGGCTATGCTAATACGAAAACAGCGATTTCGTCAAAACGTTTCATATTTTATTGTTTGAACGAAATTGAAATTCCAAAATGGGGGAAACATTTGACGAAATTTTGGGTATGACGTTTCGAAAACGCCGTACCCTCTTGATGTATCTGGACTCGGACGAAGTTCAGATACATCCACGACGTTCTTTGGTACGGTGTTACCAAAAAATAGTGATCCCTGGATGTATTTGGAATTTGGATGGGTCCAGATACATTGAGAGGGTAGGGCACTTTTGGAACGCTGTACCCAAAATTTCATCAAATCTTGGCCCCATTTAGGATTTTCAATTTCGTTCAAAAAAATAAAATATGAAACGTTTTGACGAAATCGCTGTCCAAATTTCAAAACAGTTTGCGTTACTTTGTAGCCTTGCCCCAAAAAAAAAAAAGAATATGAAACGTTTTGACGAAATCGCTGTCCAAATTTCAAAGCAGTTTGCGTTACTTTGTAGCCTTGCCACTGTTGGGGTCCATCGGGCTTCTCTAGATGCACACCTATCCTCAACCACCTTCTTCACGCGAAGACAACGTATAGTCATTGTAGCTGTATTTTGGGTATCTTTCGGTCCAAATCCAGCAATAACGACCTACGTGGGGGAGAGGGGCGCGGGGGGAGGAAGGAGGAGGGCACCGCTTTTGCCTCAACCCCTTCTCTGATAGTGAATCTTGCTGCTAGGCATGTTTCGCACTACTGTGGTGTACAGTGTACTTGTTATGTGTGTATGTGTGTGTGTGTGTGTGTGTGTGTGTGTGTGTGTGTGTGTGTGTGTGTGTGTGTGTGTGTGTTTTGAATTTTCACCACAACAGCCTCTACTCCACACCAGACGAGTATTTTATCCAAAATCGAAGCAGAGCTTTAGTCCTGTGCAGACAACAAAAGCACTTCTTGAGTTGAGACAAAACCAACAATGAAACGGTTAGCTTTATAGCAAGCAACACGAAGCAAAATAGGAGCATTTAAATTTTAAATCCCTTTCTCAATTGTGTTCAATTTGACTTTTTCGGGTACCGTTTCATTTGTCGTTGCAACTCCCTTGTTACTGTGCCTCTCATGAAAAAGGCTCGTCATTTGTCGTTGCAATTCCTCTTTTACTCTGCCTCTCATGTACAAGGCTCGCCACGTTGATTGTGGTTGAGCATGGAGTTGCCCATATGTCTGTGTCCCATAATGGCTCGTGTGTGTGTGTGTGTGTTTGCGTGCAAGTGTGACCATTGTATAGTATGGTTTGTTACAATAATTTGTTGATGTTTTGGGGGAAGGATGTGTTGTGCGACGTACGCGTGTGTGTGTGTGTGTATGTGTGTGTGTGTGTGTGTGCGCGCGTGCGTGTTTGAGAGGTCTGTACTCAAGGTGCGCGAGATACGATACATCATTACTCCTACCCGCACAGCTCCGACAAACCATGTCGGCCCACCTTGAATAATGAGACAAAGCAGGAGTGATGTTTCCCGCAGCAAAAGGCCGACAAAAATGTTCATAGGCGCGGGACAGACACATCCAGTAGTGGAAGGTAGGAAATTCTAAACCGGACTCTACAAGCAGCATCTCCTCTTCAACTGCAATACTCGGATTCGACATGGGACAAACGCATCCAACAGCGGAAGGTAAGGGAAGACTATGTCGAATGATGAGAGTAGCCTCGATGCTTCAGATGCCATTTTCAGATAGACCAGAACACACGCAATAACATCTCACAAACAAACGGAGGGATGGGGGGAAGGCAAAGGACAGCGAGGCAAAGGCCAGGGAACCAACACCATAGGATGACAAACCACAGCATGGCACATGCAGAGGCACGAGAGGAGGAACAAACAGTGAGGCATCACATAGGCTGAAACGCATGGGGGAGGTGGGAGGGCACAAGTATCGAAAAACAGCAACGCGACCAAAAGATGTAGCTCAGTGGCACTGGTTGGAAGCCTTGCGCATGGACACCGGCAGGGCGTTAGAATGACGCACGGTTGGACATACACCCCCTTGGTCTGACGCACGGTAAGCTTATACAGACACTGCCTGCGGACCACCCAAAGGGTTGTCCATAGTGTTGTATGTCAGGTCTTGATACTGTGTGGGTTGCTTGTGGATGTTTCTCGTCGTTGTTCTGTTGATCTCCCCAGTCTGGCATATCACACATAGGGGCCACTTGCGATTGTTGCTCAAATGGTAGAGTCTTCAGGTCACATGTCATAGATCATGGGTTCAAGTCTGGCTTGGGACTTTGGGGGGGGTTCTTGTCCAGCTTGGCCTGTCATCTCTTCAAACGAACACTTAGTTCCCTCTACATAGTACTGCACATATCTGGCCTTCGGGCACACATATCTCGCTATACAGTTCCACAGAGCACACATAGCCTTCGGGCAGACACAAAAACATGGCCCTATGGGCCCATACAAACATACATAGCCTCTGGCCACACACATACACACACAACTACGATACTGGGCTGGGGGGGTCTATCAGGTATATGACCGGGTCTATGCATGGATGGCTTAGCTCTAGGGTAGGGTAGGGATATAAGTCGCTCCGGCTAGTCTGAGTTCCACCTAGCCTTGGATAAGCTAGGGGAAGGACGGTAGGATGTGTCCACGGGCGCTGACATGCCTTGCCTAGGTAATCCTGCTGGGTAGACTCTCTGAATTGGGCCTGTAGAAGATTGTATCAGCCCGGCGTCCAAAGTTCTTGTACGGCAAGGTTTGTCCGCTTCCGCTTCCATTAGGCCTGGGAGGTTGGCCCAGCCCTGGTGCTTGTCACTGCTGTCTGGTCCAAGTTGCCCAGCCCTGGTGCTTGTCACTGCTGTCTGGTCCAAGTTGCCCTCAATACTGGTAGGGTGATGGTCCTGATTGCTTGTTGCATTGAGGTAGGATAGTAGGGACAGGGGGTGCGTTGGGAGTATTAACGTGGGGATGGGTAGGGTAGGTGGCCTATCCTGTCAGGACAACCATTGGCTGCTGCTACCAGCAATCACCGCGGGTCTGGTCCTTGGCCTCTACAACACCCAGCGAAGGACAGGCTGGAGGGTAGAGGGAAGGAGGGTGGCCAGACAAACAGCACAAGGCAAGAAACAAAGCCCGTAAAAAATAAATTAAAAGCTGATGATGAAAGATTGTTTCGTCGGAGTTGCACCAACTCATCACGAGGCTGAACCCTTGACAGTCTGCGAAGACTTAGTGTTGGATGGTTTGGGTCATGAACCCTTTTACCCTTGTTGAAGTCAGACTGTCCCCCAAATGGAACACAGCAGCGGGCAGCAACCCTGCGGAGCACCACGCCAAAAAGGACTGCAAGGAACGACACGGCGTGCAGGACAAGCAGTGCGGCAACCACACCGCGAAGCACAAGGGAACACCAACAAGGCAACCACACAGCACGGGACGACAACGCTAGTGGTCGAGTAGCACGGCAACCATGCAGTGGAGCACAAGGCAGCACCTCCAAGGCAAGTGAACTACAAGGCACGCAAGCAACAAACACGGAAGGCACGACCAGCGGATGAGCGGCAAGGCAGCGGAGCAGCGAAGCGGAAAGCGACCAGCAATACGGGCACACCACACAGCGACCACAGCAATTTGCAGAGAACCACATGCGAAGAAAGCGGGCAGTCGTAGAGCGCAGACGAGGCAGTCCACAGATTCAACACGGAGCAAAGCAGCACCTCACCCACTCACATCATGATTGAACATCGCAGACTGCTTGTTCCAACCAGCCATTGAGCCAGGTAGTCACTCCAACGAGCATCGGTCATCACCCACAGGCAACACAAATATCCCGAACTGAGCAGCCCCCTAAGAATGCAACAGGCACTCCACACAAGGAACCACCGACTGTTTGGCACTACTTAAGGGTGCTGAGTTGGGTGAGTAAAAGTACTTAGAAGAAATCAGAGGGAGAACAGTTAACAAGAGGAAAACAGACAGACACAAAACTGATTGTGTATGTGTGTGCGTGTGCGGGCGGGCGCGCGTGTGTGTGTGTGTGTGTGTGTGTGTGTGTGTGTGTGTGTGTGTGCATGTGTGTGTGTTTGCATGCGCGTGCGACCATTGTATATTATGATTTGTTGATATTTTGGGGGAAGGATGTGTTGTGGCATGCTGTAATTGATAATTGACTGTGTCTATGGATGGGTGGATTGATTGGATCATTGTTGCATGCAGTGCTCTCCCGATTACGGGTACGGTGTTCGGGGCTTCCCAGCATGGGGAATAATGCCAAACTCAGTGCTCGCATTCGAGATTGAGGTCCTTTCTGTGGCGGGGTGAGCAGCACAGCGGAAGTGTTGACACGGTCACATGCAGTAGAAAGACTTCATGTTTGGGGTGGGGCAATTCCTCCTGCCTACACCAGATCCCGCGTTAGCAGAGGTGGCACTGCAGAAAGGGTTAAGCAAGTGGTACTGTGATGTGCTTGCTGCCAATGAAGGCCAAATAATGCCCTCCCGAGTGTAGCATGGGATGGTGCTTTGGTGACCAATGGATGGACCCATAAGAGTAGCAAAGACATTCTGCTATTGCTTTACGCCGTTTACGGGCATCTGACACTACCTGCTCGATTTGTCTCATCTTGAAGAGGAAGGTCCTCACCCATAGGCTTTCTCAATGGTGCCAATCATCAAGTTGATGGTGTCGGTTAGCCGCGCATTGTTTTGTCAGAGGGTGTGAGACCCTTTCTCCCTTGTCGACTCTTCGTCTCTTCTTGAGATTCTCGTATCCATTGAGATGGTGGTGATCCCCTCACACATGCAGCCAGACTCAGATGTAACAGTACGGCGGCAGCCAGCTTGATGGAACGCTTGGGGGACTGCCGGCTCAATTGAGCAGTACGTCGGCCGCCGGCTTGAGTCACTGGAGGAGAATTGTTTTGTGTTTTTTTTTTGACCAGTTTTGTGTATGCCGACTCGTGTTTGGGCGATGCATAGGGTGAAGGGTACCTCTTCCCTGTTTCCAAATGCGCAACGATTGCTGCTCATCGTGGGAAGGACGAGCCCTTTTACATTGGCGAAGGTGGTGCCGGTATCAGGGGCTGGGCTGCATGATCTGACAAGTGTTGGGGTGTGCAGTATTGGGACCCTGAACGTGGTAAGGCAAGGTCCTTCTGAGAGTAACTTAGTCTCTAAGATAGTTGCGTCGTCACAGTGCTATGGTGAATAGGTACTAAGTCGTGAACTCTTCACTCTCGAGGAGCAGCAATGTGCATACGGAGTGCATCTCTAACTCTAAGAAGCAGCGGAGACTTTAGCCTCCGTAGTGGATTAGCGGTCAGCTAGGAACAGGATAAGCCGAATCGTACGCGTACAACGAGAAGGTTACGTCACTTTACTCGTAATCGCAATCCGGGGATGCACGTTAGTGCCGGAAAAGTTAAAATTAGTGCGTCAGGATGTGGTGAAAGGGCATTGAATAGTGGACCCTCCACTCACGAGCGGCAGTCCGCGTACAGAGTGCATCTCTAAGAAGCAGCCGAGGCATCGAGTCTTTGAGACCACCATGATGCATTGGCAGTCAGTTGAGAGCCTTCACGGTTAGGGGTAGCGAAGGTGTACCAGATAGCGTAGGCTTCTTGAGAGTAGGTAGCAGTAGTTACGGTGTGGTTTCTTATTCGCGAGGCTGTTGTAGTTTTGAGGAGGATGTCTTCGGTCGTCGGTGAACTTCTCCCCTTGTTGTTGGCATAGGAGCATGTCGCCACTGTTGTCGCCGCTCTTGTCCTTCGTGGTTGGGAAGCAGCGCTTTCGAGGAGTATGTTCTCTAATTGTCAGCGCCCCACCCTTTCTGGGATAGAGGAGTGTATGGGTTGTGGGGGAGGGCCTGGGCCTGCGTGTATGTCCGATCCAAGAATTGAACACAAAACCTATAGCTTGCCAGGCAGATACCTAACCAATCGGCTAAAGTGGGGCTGGGGTAAGCCCTGATGCACTATCTTATTGGGCAAGGCTTGGTTCCTTCATCTGGTCATCGGCTCGGTCATAAACCCCCCAAGGATCATAAGAGGGGTCGATGCGATAGCAGCACGTTGTGCTGTTCCCAAACCACGCACGTTATTTCGCTTGTCTTCTGTGAGCACTTGGGCTCTCTTTTGGGCATTTTTGTTAAACGACATGCATGCATGGAGGATGATGGGCATTTATGCAATGCATGTATGGAGCCAAGGGTAACTTGATAAAACATATGCATGCATGGAGCCATGGGGCAATTTTGATAAAAGATATCCATGCATGGAGCCGTGAGGCAAATTTGAGAAAAGTCCTTATATATATAATATATATATGCGTGCAGAGAGAGAGGGGCAGGCAATTTTGACAAGAGATGTGCAGGGGTGATATGGAGTTACAATCAGTAATTTCTGGAAAAAAGAAAAAAGAAAAAAAGGGGCAGTAGTCGCAGAGGGGGAGAACATTTGGAGATGGGGAAATGTCACCGCAGGGCGGAAAACCGAATGCTCATATGCACCTGTCTCTTATACACATCTAGATGTGTATAAGAGACAGATATATATGCGTGCAGAGAGAGAGGGGCAGGCAATTTTGACAAGAGATGTGCAGGGGTGATATGGAGTTACAATCAGTAATTTCTGGAAAAAAGAAAAAAGAAAAAAAGGGGCAGTAGTCGCAGAGGGGGAGAACATTTGGAGATGGGGAAATGTCACCGCAGGGCGGAAAACCGAATGCTCATATGCACTGCTGAGAATGATCATTTCATCATATACGTAAAAAGACATATGGCAAGGTAGACCAACCAGAAGGTTAAATTTAAAATTTTGTTTATTAGGTTTACACTTTAAAATTTAAAAGTTTGAATTTTAATCCGTTTTTTAACGTTTTTTCTTTAATGATTGTGCACGGGCTTGTTCATTGAAAAAGAACAGATTCAAAAGTTGAAAGAGGGGAGATTAGAGAAAAGGAGGGAGAGGGAGGAGAACGTTCATCGTCATATGAGCACAAGGCCGATATGTGTAAGAGCTATCTTAGTGTTCGGTATACAGCCTCATGGTGACCTGCAGTGCCTTTCTTCACTTTTTTTTCAGTGCTTTTTTTCCCCTTGGGCCCTTGGGGTGAATACATGGCCGTATGGCATATGCTGTCTTTTTAATTCTTGATTAATTTCTTGTCGGTTGCAATGTTATCACAGACTCACAGTCTCAATTTTTATTTTTATTTTTATTTTTTCATCCGTTTTAGAAAATGAACAAAATTTTGGACCACCCAGCTCCGGGCCTGCTAGAGGGGGATGCTCATATCACCCCCTCGCGCAGGCAAACCCGAAAAAAAGAAAAAAAAGAAAACAGTCCATGGGGTGGAACTATATGCACAGCTTTATGAAACTGCACTGCACATCATGAGTTCTTAATTTTGTAGAAAAAATGAGTAGTGGACATTGGACTCTGTGTGTGTGTGTGTGTGCGTGTGTGTGCCTGCTAGAGGGTGATGCTCATAGACTCTCTCTCTCTCTCTCTCTCTCTCTCTCTCTCTCTCTCTCTCTCTCTCTCTCTCTCTGTGTGTGTGTGTGTGTGTGTGTGTGTGTGTGTGT